AGGCGGCCTTTCCTGTTGCACGCTAGCCATCCCTCCACGGAACTCAGCTGGAATGACATCCACTGCTCTTCTGATCTATGAAAGGCTTGTGGACTCAAGGGCGGGCAAGCGTGGCCCTGCAAAGAAGCTGCTTCCATCAGATTTTCAACAGATACGAGTTTGTCGCATTACGCATACTTCAGTACGTCCATCCTGGGTGCCGCTACCACTGAGTGGGGTGCTGGTCTGGGGCACCCTTCTTCTTGATGTGAGGGAAGGAGCCGTGTCAGCAGCGTCAGAAGGAGATGCAGCCAGGTGTGGCAGGCGTGCCAAGGAGAGGCAGCGAATTCTCCGGGAGGGGTGAAGGGAGTGGGTAGAGCTGGGGGCACCATCACGAGGCTGGACCCAGATTTAGGGCCGAGGCTGCTGCAAGATGCGTCGGAGGATGCATCGTGACAAGGTTTCAAAGGGCAGAATGGCTTGGATTATACGATCAGCCTAGCACATGTCCGATTAGCAATGGACACTTAAAGATGAATAGTAGAAATATCGTGTGGCTGCCCAGTGGACTAAAAGCAAAGGCAACACCTCCCCCAAAGGATGAATCTGTGGCCACTTAGTGACATTTTTTGTGAAGTCTTAGATTTGGCTTGTGCTGGGAAGTTATTCCCAGAAGCATCACTAATTCGGCTTCTGGAGTTGTCTCTGTAATGTCTGTCCACTAGATCAGTGCTGGTGAACCCTTTGCGGACTGAGGCCCAAAATGCAACAACCCAGGCGCCAACCAACACTGCCCTGAAACCTGGATGCTGAGGTTTTGCTTCAGGAAAAACTGCTCACAGCCTTGGCTCGGCGGCCAGCGGGGAGGGCGCTGCCTGCCCACTGTGTGTGGGTCACACTTCACACCAGACACCAGGAATAAGCCTCCAAAAGATGGACTCTTACTCGGTTCACAGCAGGCTCGGAGCCTTTCTTAACAAGACCTGCACCAACCTGGTTCTCCTCAGGCCAGTGAGTCTGCGCACAGGAAACAGAGCGTGAGAGTTAAAACTTAGAAGTGGCCGGCTTTGGCGTGTCTCCTAGTGCAGTGGGGATGTTCTTTAGGACAGACCTGGGCTTGCTCTGTTTTTGTCATTAATAGATCCATTTGGTGTCATTTAAAAATATGTATGATATTACATAGATTATATGAACAGATCTAAGTTTCATTTATGAAAACTCTTAGAGTTTTTTTTTTTTTTAAAGGTGTCAATTGTGTTTTAGAATACTTGTCAATGACAAGACTTTTTTTTCAAGTCCTATAGGATCTTCAAACATTTTGGAGCCCCTCAAAATACTGCTTTAGAAAGTAAATTCTTCCAAAATATGATCTGGAATACTTGAGTTTATAAAAGAGGTTTCTATTCAGCAACTTTTTTCTTTTAGAGGTGTAGACGGGAAAAGGAACCTGAACGCTTGAGATGTTCTTGGATCTGCTTTCTGCCCAGCAGGCCACCTTTGATTTTCCACCTTTGATTTTCCCGAGCAGCAGCTGGACCCCTGAGCGGTGTCCTGCGTGACGCAGGCTTCATTAAGGGCTTAGGACGCGCCACCAGCAACGAGAAAGACAATGGGGTTGCTTAATGTTTGTAATCACGTAAAAGGCCGCAGCTTGCCAATTTTTGAGACTCTAATTTAGATTAAGTAAGTGTTAGTTTCTTTGTCATCAGCGTCCAGGATATAAGAAATTATATTCAAGGTAAAGAATGAAGTCCAGATATTTGAGATCTAGTTTTGGTTGTTTCCATTTGTTGTACACGTATTAACCAGCGTCTAACCATTTCCCTCACTGTATTTAGCTATAAAATGAGAAAAGGGAACTACTGGGAAGGTTAATGTCTTCGGAACTCAAGAACAAAGTGCCTTTACTGATATTCCCTGTATGACTTAGAGGTGCCAAATTATAGCAGTACATAAGAAGGCAGAAGCACACCGAGTCCAAAAGTCCTACAAAATGAAGGTATTTATTGTGTGCTTTTCACAATCGTAACTCTATAGTTAAGTGTTTAAAGAAGGGTTTCTTAGCATTTCCAAATGACAAGGACAGCCTGAATTTTAACTTTTACATAGGATTCTCATGCTGGTGCCAGGTGCGAAAGATGAGGCCTTCTACAGAATTTGACTAAAGTTAAAAAAAAAAAAAGATCTGAGGGTTGAATTTGAGGGTTCTGGACACCCGGGACCAGACAGAACCGGCCTGGACCGGGGTAGCCCATCTATTTGCATATACTTTGCTGCCCCCGAGTGGCTTGCTGTGGGAAGAGAAGAGGCCCTGGCTAGAAATCAGTCGCTTCCCTAGTTTTAAAAAGGGAATGGCTGCGGCTCATTGGAGGAGGCAGGAAGCGCAGGAGCCCCTCCGTGCCTGCTGCCACAGGCATTCTCTAATGTACCCGTTCTCACAGTGAGTGACTTGGGTGGCTCTTCCTCCATGCCCCAGAGGCCCGTGCATGGATGTTCCCTGTGCCGCGGCCTCGCCTGAGCATGCTCCAGGCAGGCAGTCTTTCCGTCCCTCACGGGCCCATTCTCTTTCGCCCAGGACCTTTGTGTGCGCAGTTCCGTCCACCTAGAGCCCCTCTCTGCTTGTGTCACAGGCAGAGGCTCCTGTGCTTCAAGTCTTGCTTCAGTGTCCTCTCTCTAGAAGCCGTGTGTGTGTGTATGTGTGTGTGCGCGTGTGTGCATGTGCATATGTGTGTGTGTGTGTGTGTGTGTGTGGCCTCTGCACTGAGCTACATCCCCAGCCTTTATTTATTGGTTTATTTACTGACTGGGCTTTTTGTTGTTGTTGTTTTTGCTTTAAATACTTTAATTTGTTCAAATTTGTTACCAGGAGTGACTAAAAAAATATATAATAGAGTCCCACTATCATTAGGATGGAAAGGGCTTCAAGAGGAAACTGGTCAGATGAGCGTGACTGTTTCCCCTTGTCAGCCAGCACAGAGCTGCCACGACAGGCAGACAGCAGAGTCTGCTCGGAGTGCTCGAGATCTGCTGCATAGTACAGCTCGCCTAGTCACAGGAGGAGGAGCCTAGGAAACAACTTCGGTGTCCTTCTTGATTTATCACATAAGACAAGCACAAAAGCACCCCCCATGCCTCGGAGAACACTGGCCACGGCCCCTTGACAAAAGCTGTGCTTCCTTCACCACGAGCCAGCTCCCTCCAGCAGCCAACTGTGCACACGATGTCGGTTCCTTTTTGCCCTGACTGCATCATCGTGCGGCGGCGAATGGTGTCAAGTGGAGAGGAAGTCAAGCCGGTCACAGCAGTGATGGACTGCGCAGTCACCCAGCTGGCAACAGGATGAGTATTTGGGGTCCGGAAGCATTCATTCCCTTTGCAGTGCCACAGCTACCAAAGTAGGCAGCTCGGGAGATGATAATACCCTGCATGGACACATTAAGCCTTGATACAGGCCCTTAATCCCATCAGATCTGTAGATTTTAGCCGGGCAGCCCCCAAGTCCTTTGAATTCCCTTTTGGCTCCAGTTTTACTCATGTCAGCTGCTAGATGGGTACGGGCAAAATTAAGAGGGTACACAAAGCACAAGGATGTGGCCCCCATGGCACCTCCTGATGCCAGATTCCCTGCAAAGTAGCAGCAAAACTGGGTCCTCTTGTCCACATCACCCAGGAAGATCTGCTTGTATTTTTCTTTCTTTTTTTTGCGGAACCGGGGATTGAACTCAGGCCCTTGAGCTTGCCAGGGAAGCGCTTATTCCACTGAGCCATCTCCCTGGTCCCCGTATTTATCTTTGAAGGCAAAGTTGAGAGTCTGGGTGGGGAAGTACCTGATGGCATTGGCCAGGTTACCACGCCAGAAGGACAGGGCTCCCTGCTTCTTGGGGATTCGAACCACACAGTCTATGATGCCCTTGTGCCGCTTATCTGCAGTGATTTGCTTGCTGGCATATTGCACCTGTAGCAGCAGCCTGACCCGCTCGTTGGGCGCTACCGCAGTCTTGGAGATGGCTGTGGCCACTCCACCTGCCAGGAAGTCCCTGGCAAAGGACACAGTGGCATCTGTCATGTTGGAAGAAAAGAGGAAGCAGGTGACTGTGGGACAGAACTAGGCTGGGAACTGGCTTTGACTCCCGGGCTCTACGCTGACTTATTTTTATTTACCTTTTAAATTTTAAGTTCAGGGTCTCACTAAGACCCTGAGTTGCCTGGCTAGGTTCAAACTTGCAGCCTCAGTCCCCAGAGCCACTGGGATTCCAGGGGTGTGCTGCCACACCTGGCTCCAAGACCTTTCTGAGGAGGGGGGAAATCCTCCTCCCTCAGCCCCATTTATTCTGTTACCACAGCGGTTGCACCTGGCTATAGCTTAACGTCTCTGGACATGTGCTGCTACCGGCATTGCAGGGACGTACACTCAGGGGTAGCCTGCCTGCAGTCCCCACCGCCTTCAACAATGGCTGCTCTGCAGCAGGAGCTGGACAGACCTGCCTGGGGCCTGAGGGCAGGATGGGTGAGCACCCAACTGCGGCCCAGCTCCCCTTTGCACTCTCACCCCACTCTCCCCTCCGTTTCTTTCCCCGGCCTTCGCTCCTGTTTCTGGGACCAGGCCTCCCTGCCTCCTCCTGCTGAGGCCGCCTGCTTCCTCTCTACCTCCTTCCCTTCTGCTTGCTCACACTTCCTGTTCAGGGCTCCCATGCACTCTCTGTGTGAATGACGCCAACATTTGTGTCACCCCCACCCTCTCACTGACACTGGGGCCACTTGCCTGCCTCTACCCAGCATTTCCACCTGGGGGCCTTCCTGTACCCCGTCTTCAGTATGTCCAAAGTTGAAAGCACTTCTGGGCCCCCCGTTTCTGTCACCATCATCCCAGCCATCCAAACACAGAACTCTGGAGTCTGTCTCTCCTGCAGTCTCTGTGGCTCGACTCTACTCTAAAGCCCCGCAGGTCTGACAGCGCTCTTAGGCCTGGAAACTGAGCTCCCGGCCCAGCCCTGCGCCTCTCAGGCGAGTGAGGTAATTACCCTGAAAGTCTCTGCCTCTTCGCCTACTAGCCCAGCAATGGCTGACAGCGGCAGCACCGGCCCGTAGATGGGGTCCTTGGGCAGCGACTGGGGGAAAAGCAGGTCCACCTCCTTTAGAAATGACCCGTCTTCCAGAGGTAGTTTCACTGACCTGTAGAAGAAGCACCAGAACCAGAAGATAAGCACAAACTAATCACTGATGTCCTCCAGTGTTAAGTGAGGTGGGGGGTGTTATGATCTGAAACCACAGAAGAAACATAGTGGGGCTCACAACACCTGACAGAGCACGTCATGAAAGGACAGCTTGTGCTTACAGTTTAGGCACTTAAGGATTGATTATCAGAATGTCCCAACATTATTATCTAAAGTAGGACTTGTAAATAGCGCCTGGGGTTAGGCCTTCCTACTGTAATCTGCAGGACAGGGCGTGGCCCGCAGGGCAGCCAGCAGCAGCCAAGAATGTGGAGGACGTGTGATCGCTTTGGGTTCTAAAATCTTTTTTTTTTTTTTTTTTTTCATTTTAGGGAAGGGTCTGCAGGGTGTTCAAGGTCTCACTGCTAGATCCGACTCTAGTGATCCACTTGTTTACAGCCTCCCAAGAGCTGGGATTACAGGTGTGCACCACCACGCCCAGTCTCAATTGCCATCTCAGTGCACCCCAGGGGTGCAGCCGGCAAGGCAGGCCCGGAGATCACACCCTGGTCCCTGCACCTGCTTGCAGGCGCTTTAATCCACTGAGCTATTTGGCCAGCCCTCTAAAATCTTAAGAGAATGACACAGTTTGGTTATCTTTGAGAAATTGCTCCAATTTTAAATACTGACATCTAATTCAGATAAAAAGCAGTGTGGCTGAATTAAACATGGAGGTTGCATTCAACCACCTTCAAACCCTCTGGCATCAGGAATTCACTTCCGGCTTGCTTTCGCCACGTACTGTGGTTGAAAGGGAGGTCGGGATTCGGCCTCGTGCAGCCTGCGCGCTTCGTGGCTGTGCTCTGAGTGGGAAATAATGCTGAAAGTGATCGCCGGCGCAGGATGCCTAGAGCTTGCACGCAAAATTTAAGGGTTTGAAGATCCTGCTTCTCTCGTGAATCAGGAAAACCTACTCGCTGCATTGCCCAGTCTACTTGCCTATGGGAAAATCACACAAGCCAGCACGCAGGACGAGGCTCACGTACACTCCAGGGGAGCGAAGGAGGAAAGGGGCGATAAGGTCACTGCCTACACTGGCGAGGACCCGCTAGAGACGCCACGCTTTGTTACCAGATCTGGGGCTGTGGACGCCGGCTTCTCCTGTGGATTCCTGTGAAAATGAACATCAGGAGCACAGAGCCGAAAGAAGTGCCTTTGCTGGGGTTCTCCAGCTTGAAAACTTTGTCTTTCTGGGTTTACGTTTCACTTTTTCAAAAACTGCAATTTCAGGGCCTGGCCAGCTTCTCTTGGGTGTGACTTGGGGAGCAGGCGGAATGGGTGAGCCTGGGGGCACCAGGAGTCTGGACTCTCTCAGCAAGGCTGCTTAGCATCGATGACTGCCGCGTCAAACATTTGTCCGAGAGTTGCTCTCTGACTCATTTCATCCTGCATAGGTGACTCGCACGACTGCCCTGCCAGACTCCTGATGTTTGTGGGTGATGTGTTTGACTACGTACCATCATCTGTACACTTTCTGTATCCAACAGCTCAAGGGTGAAATTTCAGTGAAACGAAGTAATAAGAAAAACAAGACCATAAATATCCTTTTTATACAACAGCCATGTTTTGAAATAGTAAGGACACAGCAAACTTAGGAAATTAAACCACAGTGGAAAAGACTCCTAATTAGAAGACTTGATTCTTAAACTGACTGGGAAATCAAGTTAAGAAGAATCTTAGGGCTGGGGAGCTGGCTCAGTGGAATAAATGTTTCCCTGGCAAGTGCAAGGGCCTGAGTCCAATTCCTGGTTCCGCAAAAAAAAAAAAAGAAGAAGAAGAAGAATCTTTATGAAATGCAAACAACCACTCCAAGGTAATGATCTGTGTAGAAAGACACTGCAACTTATAACTCTGTGTGTGTGTGTGTGTGTGTGTGTGTGTGTGTGTGTGTGTTCATAAAGACACTTAATTCACCCAGCTGGCCTAATCACATTGCTTGAATGGAAGCAAGCCCAGAACTTGGCTATTGGGCAGAAGCACAGCCTCCTACTTTGCTTTGAAATGCTGCTCCTGGTCACTCCTTTCGATGGTCCACACGGTCACCATGTTTGGGCTTGACAAGCACAACTGGTGCCAGTTCATGGGGTTAAAGGACATCTGGCTCACATCCACACCGGGCTGGGACTGCTTGCACAAGATGACATTCGATTCCCAGTTCCTTATAAGGAAAACAGCATTGGGAGAAAGATTAACTTAAGTTTCATATTTTAAGGAAGATTATCTGTTTATGATAATTTACCTAAGTCAGGACATAATTTATATAACCTCTGATATTAATATTAAATTTATAAATAATTATGCTTATCTGAATATCCCTAAGAAACAAAATACTGCATATTGCCTAATCCCAACACGTGGAAGGTCAAGGCCAGAGGGTCATTGTGAGTTCAAGGCCAGTCTGTGCCTCACAGTGACTTCAAGACCAGCCTTCACTACAACATAAGAACTTTATCTCAAAAAAAAATTACACTGTCATACAGCACAGCAAGGATATTTTAGCCTCCTCATTCAATTTGAATATAATTCATCCAAGCTCAAAAAACAGAACATTTGCTGAAAAATAAGAGTAGTACCTAAGTCTCTAAGCACTCCATCCAGATCTGAGTATACAGTACTTATCAAAGATAACTGATCATTTTGATTTTAAAATCAAAATGTTAAGATTTCTAAATTGACCCATTCACTGCCCCCTTGCAACAATATACTCTACCTGTACCATGAACAAAGTCCTTTGCTAGGTAAATAGAAAAAAAAAATGTTAACTCTGCCCTCATCCTAGGACACTGCAGGGCGGAGCCTGGCAAGCCACAAGTGATGCTGGCTGTGCGGGTCCCTCGGCTCCGTCCGCGCCCTGCCGTCCAGCCCATCACAAATGTTCTGTCCATTGCATCCGCTGTTCTTTCAGTCTCGCTGATTCTTTGGTCTTTGCCCTTTCTGCCTCAGACACCCTGCCAAACCTATCTACCCTGGACAGACACAACGGAAGGGCTGCTGGGGAGGAGGAACAAAGTTGGGGGAGTGCACCCCTGGAGTTCCCAGGATGCACGTCCGGATCCCACCCCTGGTGCACCCTCAACACGGCCTCTAGTCTTGTTCTGTCTCTTGTTGGCCTCTTCTTCTTTCGTGCTGGCTCCAAGGCAGCCATTTTTAATGTTCTGTGCACCCCTGAGTCCCCCACGCTTGCACCTCCTTCTGCATCTCAGTAAATGGTTTTGACGCCCACAAATGCATTACAGCTCATCTGATGGGTGCTCCCCCAGTGTCTGCCACCAAATGTAACCGCCTGTTGGAATCTGCAGAACACCCCCGTCCTTTGTTAAAATGAGGGCCAATTTCACAATCTGTACATCCTACAGGTTTTGTCTTCTTAAGAACATTAGTTTAGGGCTGGGGAGATAGCTCGGCGGCACAGCAGCTGCCGGGTGAGCGAGAGGTCCTGAGGTCGATTTCCGGCATAAAGAACATGCCTTTTGCCACGACCTCTTCTGCACTCCAGGCCTTGCTCTCTCTTGCCCCTTCCCTACGGATACTTGGGTGACCAGCCATAACACTGAGTTTGAACCTTCTTGCTAGTCCATGTCTACATACGGAATTATCACATTCATCACAGGAGCTGGGTCACGCGCACGGCACATCCTCGGTCTCTACGCAGACCTCCCCCCACCCCCGCATCTCTTGTCTTCTCTTTTGCAAAAAGTCTACCTCCCTACTTCCTATTATCTGTTGTTGAGTTTGTTCTTTAGATTTGGGTTTCTTGTGGGGACAAAGCGTGCAATATTTAATCTAGCATCTCATTTATTTCATGTCCCACTAGGTTCATCCATTTGTTTTGCAACGGATGACAACTAGCATAAGATCCTATTCACTTTTAGAAGTAGAAGAGACTGAGGCAGAATTCAATTTAGCTTAATTCCTGCCTGAAGTATTTACATAGAAGCAGCCTTGCCTAAATCACCCTTTTCTTCACTCCCCTGCCTGGTCAGAACTTCACAAATGTGTAGGAGATAAGAGAGAGACAGGATCCATGTAGGGTAATAAGAGACTGACTATTTGCCCGCGCTTAGCCGTAACTCCCTCCGCCCAAGACCTCGCACCTATAGGAAATGGGGGGCACCTATAGGATATGGGGGGCACCTATAGGATATGGGGGGCACTGCATTCCTTCCCAGTTGCCATAGCAACGAAGAAACTGTAAGTGCAGGTAGGAAGCGAAGAACCAGGCCTTTCGTGTTTTCCCAGCTGGAAAGGGGAGCACACGGGTCACTGGCTAATACAGGTTCCGTAATTCCTCTTGATTTGGTCTCCTGTGGGCAATATATCCAATCCCGGCCCTTACAATTTCACATAACATTTATGTTCATTCACTTTCCTACAAGTGACTTGTCATTCTTTCTGGAGTAAGAGGGAATCTCGCTGCTTTAATTTGCATTTCTCCAGTGGCTGGTGATGGTCAACATTTTTTCACATACTGCACCTATTGGCCACTTGCACTTCTGAGAGATGTCAGACGTTCTGCTATTCATTATTTGATTGGGTCTTTTATTTTAGGGGGCCCTAATTTCTTTGAGCTCTTTTTATATTCCAGTCATTAGTTCTCTGTCTAAGGAAGAGCTGGCGAACCTCTTGTTCTATCCTACAAGTTAGCTCTTCACTCTTTTGGTGGTTTCCTGTGCTGTGCAGTTTTAATCTGCTATGATCCCATTTGTTGATTCCCAGTGTTATTTCTTATGAAATTGGGGTTCTGTTCAGAAAGTTCTTAACTATGCCTATGTCTTTAAGGGTTTTACTTCTTTGATCTTCCCGCAGATTGTTTCTGTTTTAACATTTAGATCTTTGACCTACTTTTATTTTATTTTAGTCCATAGTGAGATACATGGATCTACATTTCCCAGCACTAATTTTTCCCCAGCACTATTTGTTAAAGAGGCTCTTTCCTTTGTTGAGTGTTCTTGGCCCCTTTGTCAAAGACCAAATAGCAATATGTGCCTGAGATTGGTCCTGCACCTCTCTTCGGCTGCCCTGGTCCTGATGTTTGTTTTTGCTTCAGTAACATACTGATTTTAATCACTGTAGCTTTGCAATACAGCCTCCCATCCAGGATGTTCTGCTTTGCTCTCGTTGCCCAGGATTGCTTTTGCTATTTGGGGTATCTTTTGGTTCCATGCACATTTGAGCATTGTCTTCTCTAGTTCCTTGAGGAAGGCTGTTGGTACTTTGATTGGGATTACATTAAATCTATATGTTTTGAAAGTATGTTCATTTTGACAATGTTGGTCCTGCCTATCCAGGAACAAAGATATATTTCCACTTTCTGAGGTCCTCTGGGCCAGTGCTCACAGAGATACAGGTTTAATAAGACATGGATTTATAAGTGTGTTGGGTTAACTAATAGGCAGCTTGAAACACCCAGCTGACATGAGTTAGCACGGTGCGGGGTGTGCAAGGCCCGCCTGAGGACTGTGGCCGACATTACATAAGGGGGGCTAGAGGGGAAGGTGGTGCGCTGCTGGTTCTCCTGCAAAAGCTTGTCATGCTGGTTTTCTTGCTATGACCTCAGCTGCTCTCATCACTGGAGGAGCTCGTGTCTTTGCCGTCACTGAGGAGGCTGTGGTGCTTTTGTGGGAGCTCTGGCCCTTACCTTGAGCATTGCTTCCTGGCTCCAGTGCAGATCCCTCAGCCTGCTAGCTCAGACCCTTCATCCTGGGGGCACAGACTTTTTAGCTTCACTCCTGGCCTTAGGGCCTTCCCAGCGCAGATCGTGGATACAGACTTGCACGAGACACTGGGCTCTAGGCCCCCAGCTGGACTCCTGCAGGCCACTGCTGTCCTGCTGGAGTCTTTGGGTCTCAGGTGCCTGGGAAGATCTGCACTACTCTGCATTTGACTTCTTGGGTACACAGTATGAAATGATCTCATAAATCATGTGTCCTGTATTAAATCTATTCCCTTGCAAACTCTGACTCCGATAAGGTAGGCACACAATGGCTGCCTGCAGAGGTGGCTGGGGAAGGGTGTGAAAGGTCTGTCTGCACGCTGGAGGTCTGAAGGATCCAGTCCAAAGTCGAAGGCCTGGAGCTCGCTGTAGAGTCCCACACGATTCCAGATCAGGAAGCCAAAGGCTTTGCGCTGTCAGGCCAAAGAGTCTGCATGGAAGCCAGGAGACAGGTGAAAGGCGAAGGCTGGAGCTCTCCCCGAGACACAGAAGGACGCTTCTTTTCTGTTTTCCTTTTGTATGCATTCGGGCGACAAGCCTATTGGCTGGTGCCAGTCACGCCACAGCAGGGCTTCTAGCTTCAGTAAATCCATCCAGTTGCATGGAGAGCTACTCTAGGCCAATCAGCCAGGTGTTTCTTGCCCAAACTGACAGAACACCGAATGGTCACAAGCCGCCTTTGCCAACTTGCCAGCCAGACACACTTCCTTGAAGCACCCTTAGTCCCCAGATACAGAGACAAGCTTATCTTGACGCGATGCTCTCTCCTGCGCACAAGCAGAAGCACAGCTGCCTGCCCAGCAGAGACACGGGGCTTCTCTGGCTGGCGGTCGCTCCTGACATCTCTCATGAATGCAGGGTTAGCAATGTTCAAGAACTACTGATTTATGTATTTGGTACAGGGTCTTGCTATACAGCTTGGACTCCTAGTGATCTTCCTATCTCAGCCGCCCCAGTGCTGAGACTACAGGCGTGCACCACCACGGCATGGCACGCGGTCCTGGACATCAAACCCAGATCCTTGCGCTTGCCAGGCACGAGCTTAGACCACCAAGCTAGCTCCCCAGCCCAAGAACCAATCTTAAGTCTATAACATTATGTTACAATGGAAGCATATTCACGCAATAGGAGAGGACAGTTACAACCCTCATGGCTGTAACTAGTACAGGGTCAGAGCCGGTGTTCACAACCGCTTTTTGTACTACTCATTCTGCTGCCCCGTGGCAAGCACCTCAGCAAATCTGCGTTCTTTCCCGTGGAGTGACCCATACCCTCGTTCCCAAAGTGTCTTGGGCATTTGCTATCCTGCCTGGGTTGCTTGGTGTAGTTTTCTAATGACCTTGATGACAGGGCATGGTTATACTAGGAGGTGCCCTAAGGCATCCATGACCCCCAAGTACATCACTCCTTTTCTGCACTGTGGGATAACAGTACAATTTCTGCTT